ATCTCAAAGTTTGAGGAAGAACAATTTGCATTCTACATTTCTCATGTAAATGTACACTAGGAAAAATAATTATAATAGTAATCCGATTCAATGGAAATAAAGTACTGTAATATTTATAGTCTGTGCCAGAGTTATAATGACTGTGGGGCGAGAAGTGAAGTGTCTCAGCATGTTCCACATGTTTTTAACACTGTTTCTAAAGGCTCTGGAGGCTATTAAATTTAATGAACCCATCTGCTATGAAATAAGAGGTCCAAACATAATCAGTTTTCTCAGTGCCATATAATACAGATGGCATTCCATGTTCCACATCCCCAGCAGGAAATTTTATGTTCCTCTTTAAGTGCAGGACTTTTGTTTTTGTTTTTGATGTTTTAAACATCTTTTTGATGTATCACATATAGCATTTTATAGTGTAAATACCACATAGGGCAATACACATGAAAAGTGTTAATTCATTAAGCTAAGTATTGCTATTTCCTTACAACAGTTTTTCTAGTGACTTTGACAACTAGCAATTAGCTCCCTGTCGTAATATTCTTTGCTTAATGCAATCACTGGAAATTGTCCTAATACCAAAAGTTCCAGCATTAGCAGAGGTGTAACACAAACATGTCATTTATCAAATGAATCAGTTTACCTCAAATGCTGAAAGATAGACATTTATATGTCCATAAGCATGCATAGGTGGCACCCCTATTTGTACATATTGTATGCATGGAATAATGCACCAATCATTCTTATGTAAAGTATTCATATTCCCACTAGGTGATTATGGATTTATTTTCCTTTGCATGCCCCAATTTTCACTTCAATTTGTGCATTTTATTGGGACTCAATGCACTAAGGCTCTTGTACTTGTGTGTGAACATGGAGTCTGAGCACAAATATAAATAGCACAACGTCCCTTGCTCTGATTAGCACCCTACTGCCAGTGTTAGGAAATCAGATGTGCATCTTCTAACATAAAAGAACAGCATCCATTGTTATTTTGAGCTGCATCTGAAAGGCAATGAGAGTGCATTAATTCTATTCAGTTGAGAGGTTAATTCATTTACTATCTTGAGCACTCATTATGTTTTGACAGTTGACACAGATCTTACTGAATTTGAAGCAGTTCACGTGTTTAATGATAGTTCATTTATTCTAGATCCAGCAGGAAAACAAACAGATTAGAACTGAGGAGAAAACAAGGGTAGTTAATTACGGCAACTAGAAATTTTGGGCCAGAGAACTCAAAAGTCATGGCTCAAATTTTGGTTTTATTAGACTGTCAGTAAGGATTACCATAGACGGTAAGCTAATCATTGGCATAAAGGGATGTTGCACCTTCCTACAGATATGTGCATAATCTGCTTTTCCTGTGTGCATGGGCAGCTGCATTGACCAGCACAGTTAATGTCTCAAGCACTGTCCCAGATCTATAAGGTCCCAGTGCAGATATGGCAGATTGTAATTGCCGTGACTTCAAACTTCAGTTCTGTTCCTCTAGTTTCAAAAAGGATGAAATAGGCAAAACTGTTGTACTCTTTCAGGAAAATTAATCCAAACTGAAGTGCTGATAAGAAGGCATTGCCTGGGCTACTTTTTACTTTACTCCCATGTCAGAGCCTTCAAAAGACTTCTGCAGATCTGTAGGAGACAAAGCAGAGCTTGAAGAACCTTATTTCACATACAAACCTACCTGATGGAAGGCCTGATATCCATGCATGGGATTTTTCTTCCCCAACCTAATTCACTCAAATGTCAAAGCAAGAAAAGGAAGTTCTCATGGGAACCTCAGAGGTAGTTGGAGGTGATGACATTCCCTGATAAAGAGTTGTAAATTCTTAGAGATTAAGGGATGCTGGCCACAAAGGGAAGGTTACAGCTTGTAACCAAACCCAAAGTGGGACTGGGAAAAAAGCAACACAGATTTCTAGTTATTAAAGCAGTACAAACAAACCCAAATTTAAAAATTACTGTCTGTGTGTCAATTTTCTTATTCCAGCTGCTGATTAATGACATTTCCTGACACTCAGTTCTGCAGTGATTACCAGTATTTACTTACTGTAGATGCATGTGAACATTCTGAACACTCTGATGCGTTTTAATGTATGCCAGTATTAAAATCTAGAAATTATTTTTTGAAATAGAGGTCCAATAATCTTTTACTGTGACAGAAATGCTAATTATACCCACTTATTAGAACAGCACAATTAACTTGTGCCACCAAAAGTATTTGAAGATACCTCTGGTAATAGAAGCTAGTGGAAATGGGGTACTATTTTATTTTTGTTACTTAATAAAGGTTCTTCTGTGCATTGAACACAAATAAAACTGGGTGAATGGAAGAAACACTAATCAGTATTTTTATACCTCATCAGAAAGTTCTGGATAGAAAAAATGCTAGCATAATGGTTCTCAGTCTGTAGCACTTTCTGTTATAACTCTGTACATTATAGATAGGACCATGTACACAGCTTACCTTGCCTATCTGGAATGGGCGCAGAATTCTCCTTTTGTTAAAAAGAACTGTATCCCAGAATTTAAATTTCCATACAGAAAACACTTGGGTTCTGATGTGACAGCTGTTTTAAAAGCATGACCTTCCTATACTTCCTGTTGTATTTCTCCAAAGAACCTGCACCCAACTATGGCTACACAATACTTCATTTTTTTTAAGAATGAAGATGAATATTGAAGGGTTTTTTGATAATATATGCAATAATGTAATTGTAACATCCATCATAAGAAGTTCATGAAGAGTAAAGGCTGTAGTTCACTGGAGCTATCTCAACTTACTGTCCCCATAAGGGAAAATAAGGTTCTTGGGCAGGTTGCCTTACTAGAACAGCATCAGTGTCTTGCTCAGGAAATATTTCCAAAAAAACACCTCCTTCAAAAAGAGAAAGAAATTAGGTGTATATATATATCTATGTATATAGCATCAGTTGAAGAACTGAACTAAAACTGAACTAAAATCCATAATTGAATATTTATGCCTGTGAGAAGGTAGTGATAAAGCAAATGAAGAATCAACAGATGGTACTTCAACACTGAGCAAAAGCATTCACCGTTCATATTATGACGAATCATGACCTGTAATGACTCAGAACACTGTTTTTTTAAATGAACTCTTAAATTCTGGAGCACCAGACAGTCATCTCAAAATATTCAGTCAAATAGTAATGTGCTCTTTTTATGCAAAGAAATCCTCCAGTCGGAAACTGAACAGAGCCAACGTGGTAATTTGTGCCTGAATCTGCTCACAGCTTGAAACTAATAGCCTGAAGGAGATGAACTCAACGGTACATCCAGAGAATATATTCGGGTACACTTTTGAGAAACAAGTTTCACCAGGAAGAGTCAACAAAGGTCCAAGTAGGTCAGATTGTACACCCCAATAAACAAATTCTCCATCACAGGTTTTTAAACAGTGGGAACTCGGGGGCCAGACCAGTCTTCATTTTACTTCCTGCAGCAAAGGTAGCAGTGTGTCCTCACATTCCAGATGTGACCATAAGAATGAGTTAAAGGTTTCTGTGCTCTTTAGATGATTACCCACAATACCAAAAGCTGCACTAAGACACCACTTTCATGAGTCTCTTCCTGCCTCTCCCTCTAGCAAATACACAAACTCCCTTCAACATATACACACACTGATTACTTCAAGCATTTTAAAAAAAGAAGTGAATGAGAACAAGATTCTCCTGGTCATCTCCCCATTTCATGGGATTCCCTGAAGGCACAATAATAACCCACAGTTTCTGTTCATCTCATCTTATGTTTCAATAAAAGAAAGAGAACAAAGAGGAGACTGGATTAATATGTTATTAAAAAAAAAAAAGGCAAGAGAGATAAGTTAATTCCCTCTAAAGCAATTAACTTTTTGTTTCTCCTTCATAACTGCAGTTTACTATTTATGTTACATTAACCATGGCCACAACTGAAGAATAGGAAAGGCCTAAACAATTGTGAAAATGAAGTAAAAGCTCTATTCCCAGGAGTTTTTTCCTCCAATAGTTTTGTATTGATTTAAAACTGAACCTCCAAGAAACATCACAGACTGCAAAACAACAAAAAAATTCAAATATCAAAATGAAGCTGATGAGATTCTCCCACCTTGCCCCATCTTCAAGAAAGTAAAAATTTAAAACAGAAAGAAACAACTGTGCCACCTGTCATCTGTGATCTTCTATTCATTATATTGAATAATTGGTATTACTTATACTAAATGACAGACATCTGCTGCAAAGTCTTGCTCTATGGGTAATTTACAAACCAAAATATTTTAACTGGGAGAAAGGAAACCTAATAACAAAAAAAAAAAATAGATAAAAAGTTTGTTTCAGACCAATCCATGGAAATTAACAACCTTTACATGCAAATCTGATTTACCACAAATGCTACAGAAGCATCATGAGAGTTCAGACACTGCATAATAAAAAGTTGTGCTTCATCTTCATTTCACAAGGATGTCAAGTTAAAATTGGACATTTATCACAATTATTTTAGCACATCACCCATTCAATTCACTTTAAAAGGTAGAATCTTCTCGACATTCTTCCCCAAGATATCACAGTTGACTCCTAGATGTTGACCCACCTTTCTACACTGGAAACACTGGTTCTTGTCAGTCTATGTGTTTGTGCTGACATATTCATTGATATATTTTAAAACAGAGAAAAAATGGTTACTCAATATAATTAAAATCTGTTGAATGCTCATTTTTGATTATTAAAAAAATGTAGGTTTAGAGGTCATAAATTTTGAAACTATTCTGTAAGGCATGTTTGTTTCATTATTTTCTACATAATTACAATGTATGAATATCTGCTAAAGTTCAGTAATGTTGAATTATTTGCTTGCAGAATAAAGTCCCAATTCTTACAATGAGTTACCACATACCAGCAACAGAAATCAGGTGCATAATGAGTGTTTCTATCACAACGGTTTTGTTCCTAATTCTTCATTATTTGCCATAAGCTTCTATTAAAAGCTTTGTCATGCAGACTTACAGTGCTGTCAATGTATGCTTCCGTCCACACCACATCATGTTCTTGGTCAATAACCTTTGGTCGGCTGAGGACATGAAGATATTCCATAACATTCTCTTGCACATCAGCTAAGGTAGAGATTTGAGTAAAAAAACCTGTGAAAACACACAATTCAAAGTTTTAAACCAGAGAGAACAAACTAAGGAAGACTGCAATAAGGAGTATGATACGGTTTCTGTCTGTTGTGTTTTCTCCTTATTTATTTCCAAAAAAGAAATGCCAAAAAACGAATGTTTCACAAGAAGAACCCTCAAACAATAATAATTGGTGAAAGCAGAAGTCTGTGAAACCTTTGGCCAGTCCTCAAGGATAGAGTTTCTGATGCTTCTATGAAACCCTGCACTGTCTGTACTAAACCTCTATTTTCAGAACTATTGTTGTTTAATGGTTTGGGGCTTTTTTTTAATGCCACGCACTTTTAAATTTTGAACTGATATTATCTTTGTCCAACAATGCCTCATCCAGTTTCAAGAAACATGATGGATTAGAACTACAGTAACAGGACAGTAGTTGCATATGCTATAAAACACTCATCCATACACAGTGTGACTGTTAAAAAAAAAAAAAGCAATATGTTATTTACAAATATGGCAGGTCACAGAAAATGTAGACTGCAACTAGAATTGCTTAGTTTAGTGATCACAGCTTTGTTAATCCTTTAAAACATCTCCTGCAACCTGACGGCATTGAGGACAGCAGAGGCCTCAGCTATTTGAGCTGTCACCACTTCCTTTTCAGCGCTTGGATGTCAAGTATCTTTATACATCACAAACTTGGCATCTGGAGCCCACATCATGCAAGGGTGATGAAGGACTGACAAATTTCAAGGCTACAGTTTCATCAGGCCTTATTTAAATGCATCACTTCCCTTCATACACTTTCTGTTAATGAGAAAAGACAAATATGAAAGAGGCCTCTTTACAATTTTAATAATTTGACAAGATCACAGCTTCTGTGGACCTGGAATATTAAGCTTTATTAAGCTTAAGCAGAAAACATTTCAACTGCAAAGAAATTCTGAGCTGTGTTTCTCTAGACAGGGTCAGTTTTGGCAAGACTGTAAGGCTGTCCTGTAGTCTGAATGCCAGAACTTCCTGATTCTTATATTCAGACTTTTTGACAATTGTGTTTCTACCTATCTGTAGCAAATGTCAAATCTCCCAAGAATTAGCTTCCTACACTGCAAACTTTATCTCTCTTATCTAGAGATCAGAGGTACCCTATGGAATTAAAACCTTACTGTTCCTATATAGAGGTTTAATGGTTTAATGATTAGTTAAAGACTTGCTCTGAAGTTCTTGAGTGCAGCTGCTGAGGCCCTGTAAGCAATAGTAGCAAATCCACGCTTAAATTTTTGCATTCTAACACCTGCTTCTCGGCTCCCTGGTGTGTGAATTATGCCACCTCAGAGCCCCATACAGTCACCACTACCTTTTTTTCCTCCCCAGCAGGAAAAAACTCGTAAAGGATATGGGTAAGATTTGGTAATGACAAGCATGAGATATGTATAATAATGTGGTAAAAGACAGACACTTTTGCTCTGCATGTGGGCTGCCTTTCCACACTACATAGCCCATGGACTACATAGCCTTGCTTTTCTCTACAATGTCCACCATTAGGCTCATAACTTTTCAAGATGCATCCATTTGATTTTTACACGGAGAGCAGCACCTTTCATTTGCTGGGCACTGTGCAAAATAGATGCAACATTCTTGCAACTAATAAAATTTCAGTATTTAAAAATGCTCTTTGTGCAGTGACTAAGAAGGCAATCCATTGTTTCACTGCAGCTGTAAAACTCCCATGGAGATTTCCCCCTCTCCCCCCACCTAAGAGGCCTCTGGAGCAGGTGAACAGGCTCGGTGCCTGGCTGCCTGCCACCCCCCCATCAGAGCCCACCGTGCACGAGGTGCTGGGGTCATGCTAATAATGGGAATGGATGTGACTGGGGCTTCCTGTACAGAACTCTCCTCTGCTAATACAATAGTCTGTAAACTGCTCCAGCTGGGGCACAACCTGCCTCGGGGCTGATCTGTCCTCTGCTGGAGTTGGAGCTGCTCTCAGCCCCCCGATATGAGAAACATTTTTCTCTACGTTGCTCTCTCAGCCTCTGCTCCTTTGTACTGATGAATCCTGTTCTTTGTCCATTTTATGACATGCCAACCACAGTGAGGATTCACAACAAAATATTTCAAAAAGCCAAACAAATAAGTAAAACAGAGGCTGTCAAATTACTAATGCAATACTGACCTTTACTGAAAAAAAAAAAAAAAAAAAACAAACAAAAAAACAAAACCAAAAACTACCAAAACTAGTTTCAGTGGTTTCGTTAGCAAGTACCGATGGGAGCCTTTTCAACCTAAGGTGACTGAAGGCCCACACTAAGACCTTAAATCATCTTATCTGTGAGCTGCTTTACGCTGATGATGCCACCCTCGTCGCCCACACAGAAGCAGCTCTGCAGCGTTTAACATCCTGCTTTGCAGAGGCTGCTGAGCCTTTTGGTCTGGAAGTCAGCTTGAAGAAGACAGAAGTTTTATATCAGCCTGCACCTCAGGAAGTCTTCCATCATCCCTATATCACCATTGGTGAAACAGCACTCAAATCAGTCCAACAGTTTAATTACCTGGGAAGCATCATCTCCTCAGACGGTAAGATTGATGCTGAAATTGACAACAGGTTAGCAAAGGCATACAGTGCTTTTGGTAAACTCCATAAAAGAGTGTGGCAAAACAAACACCTGAAGAAAAGTACTAAGATCAGTGTTTACAGAGCCATCGTACTGTCTACTCTTCTATATGGTTCTGAATCATGGGTCATTTACCGGCACCACTTGCATCTCTTAGAACGCTTCCATCAGCGCTGCCTCCGTACAATCCTTAACATCCACTGGACTGACCATGTGACCAACACGTCTGTCCTTGAGCAGGCAGCAGTCACAAGCATTGAGGCCATGCTGCTGAGAACTCAGCTGCGCTGGGCAGGGCACATCTCCAGGATGCAGGACCATCGCCTCCCTAAGATCGTGTTTTATGGGGAACTTGCCACTGGCTGCTGCAAGAGAGGACGCCCGAAGAGGAGACACAAGGACCGCCTGGAACAATCCCTCAGCCTAGGCCACGTTGATCACCACCGTTGGGCTACCCTGGCCTCCAATCGGGAGGCCTGGAGACACACCATCTATAACGCTGCTGCTGCTTTTGAGAACACACACAGGATCCCTCTCAAGGAGAAAAGGCAACGCAGAAAGAATCGCATCTCGTCGATATCACCTGGGGAGTCTTTCTGCTGCACCTTCTGCAACCAGACTTGTCTATCTCGCATTGGCCTTTTTAGCCATCAGCGCGCTTGTAGCAAGCATGGGTAGAGCCCTTCTCAAATCTTCATTCGCGAAGCCCAGCCATGAATGCACTCCCATCTTTACCTTTACAGCTTTCTGCTGGAAGTGACTGCTGAGGGAAAGGTGGTTCCTGCTTACTTCTAAGTTCTAGACACTACTGCTAACATCTGGCACATGCACACTAAGCAGTAGGAAATTTTCACCTTTGTTGGCTTCAGAATCTTAGTAAATCTTTATTGTTTTCCTTTATGTGCACTTGCTTATGATACAGAAGGGTAAATCACTGCAAATTTCACAAAATGCTCTAGAGGGATTTTTGGGATCTTGAATGTTTTAATGTGTTTAAAATGGTTTGGTGTTTTGCTTCATTAAGCAAACTCCCTCTAGATATGCCCTACTTATACAGAAAAATGTAGCAGAAAAGCATGCTTGGGGTTTTTTAAGGTTTCACCATCATAAGCTAGAAGCTAAAGAAGTTTTGCAAGGTGGTATGAATTTCCCCTGTGACCCGTTTTGAAGGAAAGGACTTCTGTCCACAGTCCAGTCAGCTGGAAACCCTGCAAACAGCCTTCATCTATGTTGTGCTTCCAAGGGGAAAATCACTGAAAGGAAAATTGATTTTAGGGTCATTGACCCTCAGTGACAACTACATACTTTGGCCCACCCATGCAAGGAGTAAACTGCAGTCCAGACATTCAGCCAGTCTTTAGACCAGTTTTCTACACTCCTCATCTGTTGTGCTTTAATTCTTCATTTCACTAAAACAAAATGGACAAGCTATAGCTGAAAACTGTGAGAAAAAGATCTGAATTTCATACTGTCTGACATAGTGACTTATGCTGTTTCCAACTGTGATTTTCAAAGCTAAAAAAAATAGTTACTGATTAGAGGTAGAAGATTTTTGCATTATAAGCTATCAGAGAGCAGGTATTGTAACTATTAAATTGAGAGGGAAATAAATTTATAAAGTAACAGTCATTAAGCTGTTTAGTTGATTCATGTGAGTTAGACTCTGACTCAAAGCAACATGGCTATGAAAAGAACAAAGTAGTCCTGAAGAATGACAAAGGTGACCACTTTTCCCCCTCTGGGAATAAGGAAGACGTGGACCAGATGATCTGCTAAGCCAGTCTCCATTGCCTGGTCCTAATTTCTGAGTTGCTGTACTTAGATCCTTATGAATTTGTGGAGCTGGGCTAAAAAGTTAAAAGATTTTGTTGATTAAATTGTCTTCAAAAAAGATGCTTCAAAGGATTCTTATACTATTATTTAAACTAAATTATGGTGTAATATTAGCTGATTAAGACAAGACTTCAAACTGAGTAATTTCCATCAGCTGGACATAACAGTAGTTAAAGAAATAATGACTAAATGGATAGCACCTGATGCAATTCATCATAATGTAATGTGGCACAATGGAAAAAGAACTTTTTTTTTTTTTTTCCAAGAGGAAAGGAAAAAGAAAACCTGAAGATTAATTAGGGGGTTTGTTGGTTTTCTTTTTTTTTTTTTTTTACTGAATCATTCTTACTTTTATTAGTCAATCCTTTTACTGTAGCATCTCAGCATCTTTAATGTTTTAATGCTCTTTCCTTAAACGACATAAACCAGTTTTTTTCAATTACACTGTCAGTTCCTCAAGGGACAGGATGTCTGGTGTTTCAAATACCATGCTTAACACAATGAGACTTGTACCCAATGTTCTTAGAAAACAAACTAACTCTTAGTAATAACAGCTTTAATAGAACAAATGCTTCAAAATTAGATTGTTCTGTGAACAAGAATTTAAGACGACATAGTTTAAGAGCTTCATGCATATTTTAAGAAAAAAAAATACATTTCGAATTGGACTCCTTTTGCTCTTCAAATGTTATGTTACAAGATACAAGTCTTCCTTTTCTGTAAAGAATCCCAGCTCATCCAGTTGTCAGTGGCATCATATTTCCAGAAGGATCAGATATGCAGGAAGGCACAGGAATAGGGGTTTGAAAGAAAGGCTTTCACAGATGAAGGTGAACTAACCTTTGTTAGCACAGGCCATCCACTTCAGGTTATCAGCAAATGCTGCTTCTCTTCCAATCAGATAGGTAAAAATACGAACCTGAAAGTACAATGCAAAAGATGAGTCAGTTAATACTGCATTTAAAACATGTTCAGTAGAACTCCAAGTACAGATGTGTCATTCATATGGAGAGATCCTTTCTAAGAAAGTATTACTGATTAAGCAGCACATGAAAAAAAAGATCTCTGGCAGTAATGTCTTCATTACAAAAATGTGGGGTTTGTTCTATATAACAGAATGACTGATCTTTTTAAATGTGTTTAATATCTGACATTTAACTAATGTTTAATATGTAATTGAGAATAAACTAAAACCATTTGAGTACAAAGCAAAACTCTATGTTTCAAACAAACCTGTTCTGCACTTCTTAATTCAGAAAATCGCTATGAAGTTGGGAACAGGCACTTTATTAGAAAATACTCCTGTGGATAAAGGATCTGAAACACCAGGAAAGCAAATTCCCCTCAGTTTACAAGGTTCCTGTGACACAGCATCGCTGTCAACTTAGAGACAGGTACCCACAGGAAGCACTTTAATGTAATTTAATTCCTTTGCAAATAAAAAAAAAATTAAATAATTCAATTTCAATATTTTTTCCATTAATATTTTTTCCTTGCTCCCAAAATCTATTATTAGTAAAATAAACTAATGCCAAGTTCCCATAGGACTTTTTTTTTTGTCAGAAAAATGGATTTAAAAGACTTTGAAAGTTTCCCTCTTCTCTCACTGCCCTTTTGTCCATTTTCTTAATGGCCACATCCTGTTTCTAGGCATACATGATGTTTTGCCTTATTATCATGCCTAGAGACCATCAATCATAAAAATCTTCCCACTCTTTTAAACATCAAATGTACACGGAACTCAATCATGATTTACACACTGACTGTTTGAATCCAACAGTTTGTATAATCTCACTCTAAGACTGTAAAGAACACAGCATTAAACAAAAGAATGGTACTTTTATACTTTGTTGGTGCCTATGAAAAGCATTAATAAAGAAAACCTTTATTCTATAAAGACTCATGAAAGTGTACAGTGAGATTTACACTCTCAAAATACAGCATGAATCACTGTCACAGTTTATCTTCCTGAAAATGATGCTTGAATACAGCCTATGGGGAGACTGAATATATCTGAGAGATTTATATTTAGTGATCTGCTTTAATCTATAAAGAATCAAACTAGACTGTGTTCTTAATAAAAGGAGACCAGCCTTATCTAAATGGATGAGCAGTAAGCATGACAACAGGCATAAGCAGCACAATAACTCCATGGAACCTACAAAAAATAAAATTTCAACAAATCAGTAACATGGATCATCATGAGGAATGGGCTGTCTCTGCAATGCTGTTGCAAAGATTTTAATGATTTTTCTCTGAGTGTATTTTCTACATCTGGTTGCCTTGGTATCTGCAGTTTTGCTAGAAAATATTTTAAGCATCATAAAAATACTGCTAATTATTTGTCATTACTTGAAAAAAATAAAAGAAACCCATAAGACAGAGAGCTGGAACTGAAGATGAGTGATCAGAGTTGCTTTCCTTTCCCATCCCCTGTCACTGTGTATTTTTCTCTATACACTTGCTATGGTGCATGTAATACAAATGACATTTACCAGTGTCACAATGAAATAAAAAGTGTTTTATATAGTAAGTTACACTATCATTTTAAAATACCATTTCTATATTGTTCAGTACTTATAATAACTTCTTATTCATAGTAGCTTTGTAAGAAAATAACAGAAAAGAAAAGAAAAAAGAGAAAGGTATCTTTAGTTAAAAAAAATGCCACTGTTACATTAAAGTTTTCCTTCTACATTGGCCTTAAGGACACATTAATAAGTATTGTGAAAATTGTTTACTACTCCATTCAGAATAGCAAGAAAAATCCTCAAAATCAGCTCTGATGGAAACCAATTCTGATTATTTCTCTACTTCTAGAAGTTTCATTTGATCAGTTCATTGTACCCATTAGGTAAACTTAATTCACTGTGAGCGTGCAGTGAAAAACACACCAGAAATAATTTCACAAAACAAAGGCTTGCCATGTTATTTTCTGCTTTCAGAAATCACAACAACGACTTAGGTAATAAATTATTAGAATTAAAACTTGTATCAATAAGACTACATTCTAATTCCCATTTTTAAAAACAATCTTGGTTCCACACACCTTTTATACTAGTTTAACTTTCCTGGGTAAATTCAAGCTACTTCAACTGCTGCACTAGGACAAGACCAATGCAGTGATGGGCTCCGTTGATGCAGAACAAGACACACTGATCACAGTCAGCACTGAAATTCTCATTTTACATTGACTAGACATTAGGTACCAGATTTAATATCTATCCATATGCTCAGATACCATGTAAAATATATGTTGGCAGGTAAAATTTTTAATAGTTGCCACCAATTTTTCTTCTTTGTGAATATGAATAACTGAACGGGAAGTGCACCAAATCACTTCTGCTGTGAAAAATGGCTGCATGAAATGTTTATTTCACCCAAACAATCCAGATATAGCTCTAATATTGTACAGTCTGCGGAAATATATATATAGTACTGAGGCAGATGATTGAAATCTCTATAATTAATAATAGATGGGGAAGTATTAGGTGTGTCTCTCAATTGTTTGTATTGGATTTTAAAGAAAATAACACAGTAGAAACTATGAGCTTTCAGAGGTATATACACTATATACATACACGCTGATAAACCTCTATTGGTATCTTATGGTACAACATGATGTTAGGACACTAAGAATTTTTTTGAATCCATAAGGAGAGAATGTTTTAGTCAAGGCAGACTGAAAAAATTCAAAGTTATTATGGGCCAGTCCCAGAAGATCCAGTAACAACATTTACATAGTCTACATATGCTCTGGCTAACTGAGTGCAAGCCAAATGAGAAAAACACCTTTGAATATCCAAGTGCTGTGACTGAATCAAGAGACCATTTTCATCAGAGAAGGAATCTGCATCAGAGGGTGTAAGTGCCTCTCTGGCAAAAAAAGATATGACAAAAAAGAGCCCTTCAGTTCTGGATAGTTTTGAAAGCTTCGCAAGATACTTAAGATAACTGAATCAAAATACTTTCCATGTCTGACCTGCCAAATATGATATCAACTATATTAAGGCTTATCACGACCTGTTAGCTGTGGAGAAAGAAAATATTCTCAGGCAGAAGTGCTAGTCTTGAATTTTTATATCAATCTACAAAACTGAAAGTTGTAGATGTCAGAATCACTGAATACAAAGCAAAACTTGCTCTCAGAGCAAAAGCCTTAATCTTTGCAACTATACTTGCTGATCCTGCACAGTAGGTATCTCCTGCAGCTGTGCCATCGACTACTATTTTTCAAGCCAATGTTCACAGAAAATGGAGTGAGAGCTCCATAGTAATATTAAGGAAACTGAAAGGACAATGGAACTAGGAACTTTAATAGAGCTTGTGACTTTCTCACTTCATATTTTTCTACATCTTTCTAAAGCAAGTGTTGAATAGCAGAGAATACCACTTGAGATTGATGTATTTTAATTATTTTTAAAACAGCAGCTGTGGAAACCTGCCATATATTGGCTTCTTATTATGTCTCATTCCTGACCTAGAAGGGTCACCTCTGGTAAAGAGCACTCCATTCACTTACCTTTCTTACTGAAAGATTGCTGCAGAAGCTCAAATGATTCCAAACTGTGGAATCAAATTCATATTAAGTAACCAACTAATTTCAAGAGTGCATTTTATGATGGTCAGCTTCTCTGTGCAAGACTGTAGATTCTGGTACAAACCACTAGTCCGTAGTAAACTAGTGAGAAGTACAGCATGCCAAACATTGCCACAAGCTGAGTTGGAAACTACTCCCATTTATGCAGAGTTAGTTAATTAGAATTAATTAATATTAAGGTGTTGAACCACCAAGCTCAGTAGTTCAGACAAAACTGACCACAAATCTTACACTGAGTAAAATACCTAAACCAAAAGTAGATATTTAACTGCACACTTTATCACTATTTTTAACCTGCTTGCTCACTGATTTTCCAGTCTCTGGTTTTTCAAATTCTTGTTGTCTTACCTAGGCACAGATCATGGTTTGGATTTGGTGGTTGCTCTCTACTTTTTGTTGCATCCCCTAAAATTCTGGAAAATAAATTCTGATAATAAGCTTCTTGCTTTTAAAGCCAGGGAATATTCTGAAGTTTGAAGCTTTAGACTCTGGACAGAAGGTTTATATAAAATCTCAGAGATGCATACACTCAACCATTACTGAGGAAACCTAAGAATGATGACTTAAATGACAGCTATTTCAGTGCTAACCACTTCATGTGAAATATCCACTTAGCAGTTCCATCCATTACGCGTGGGCTAATCTGCAGTCCCTGAACTGTCCTCACCTCTGAAACTTCATTAAATTCACAGCACAGTGCAGAGAACGGAGACCTTCTTCCATCTATGTTAAGCAAGACAAGTCAATCTGCAAGACTGTACACACTGGAACTGTGAAGTCATATCTTCATGCCAAACAGCTGGTAAAATAGTATTTCCAGAAACTTAAAATACCGTGTGGGAGGGGAAATGGGACTTACTGCAGCTGACGGTGCAAACCTCTGTTTGCAGCTGCAAACTATTTCATGGACACCTTCAGCAAAATAGTCTTTCCTTTCTGGCTCAGCAAGAAGTAAAAATAGTCCCGTGGCAAAAGCTGTGGAATTGAAGTTTTCAGTGGGATACAGGCATGAAATTCAAGTTCCCATAGTTAGAAGCCATGGTGGTCCAGAAAAGCCTCAGCTTCGCATGGATGAGCAAATGGACTGATTTGGAACAATGGATGGATGTGAGACTGAGTGATTGCCAGAACTCCTAAGGAGCCTCACCCAAAAGAATTGATTTCACTGCTACAGGAGCTCTCAAAGTGAGAGCTCTCAAGTAGCCTCTCCTAGACAACTCATGTTATGGCTAGACCCCCTGATAGGAACTATTTGCATATTCAGAGTGTTAATTAGCTACTTTCTTGGTTGGAAAAAATGCCTTCCCCCCCCACACACA